TTTTTTTTCGTTTCTCATGTGCTCATTTCAGGCTCAAGCCCAGCGCACCTACACTTGCCACTGGCCAGATTGGCTAGAAAGACAGGCAATCCAATGTTGGCCGGTGTTCATTTGCATAAAGCCAGTAGCAATCCAGTGCTGATCAACAATAGTCCTGTGCTAAACAGCTTGAAAGTCGCGGTGCAAGGGACAAAAATGGTAATTTCTTCCAATTTTCAGTTCACAATGATTTTCTTTCATGCCTTTATTACTCCATCGAGAACATTTGTTTGTGTCCGTTGTGCGCAGTCGAGGATACTTCAGAAATGGGTCTAGCTTTGCTTTGTAGCTTCTTCAGTGAGCTTATTTTTCGGCTAAATTTCAAAGGCGTCATTCCTCGCTGTTTTGGTAGATTATAATGAGAGTGAAGATATTTGTATCCATATGTATTAAAGGATGCTTTAGATGTGGGAAATCGCATCGCCAGAGCAACGTGCCCGAAGTTTCGTTACTATATTTGCGACTCTGCAAGGGGGCTATGAGATGATGTGTCACTCTTATCAAGTTCTCGCTGCCAATGTGAATATGGTAAGTAGACAGATTACTATCCTGTTGCCAACCTATCATTATTATGATGCACATAGATACAGGAAGTTCCGCCACCTTTCGAGGGCATGAATGGCTTCGTTAACGGATTCGCCCCTATAGCAGGTATCGTCTCACTATTTCTTTTAAAAGAGGCTTGTTACGGTTAGATTGGTTTCAAGACCATAAAATCTAATATATGAATGCCCAACGGCGTCTGATTAACGGCTTTTAGTTCCATACGGTGTACCTCCACCAAATGTTGGCATTTTGTCACCAGCATCTTCTACTGCTCTCGGCGAAGAGATGTCGCGCACATGTCTTCGCCTTTCAAATTGGCTTGTCGATAGTCCACAATTGGTCTCTGCGATTCCACCTGAATGCAGGCAATCCCGTCTCTGGGTGAGTTCATAGGAGGTGTGATCATTACTTTCTCAGGTCTGATTTTCATCTTTACAGATGCGACTGGAGGCGGCAGGTCGAGAGCTGATGGGCTGCGATATAGTAGGAAGCCTTCTAGTTGTTGCCACGGAAGTCTCTCCTGCTCTTGGTAAAGCCCATCGTAAATTAGGTGATTGGGCGTTCAGCTCAGCTGAAACTGCGGGCGATGAGAAGGATAAGCTGCTCTTTTACAAGAATTATCGCGTGAGTTTAGTTTAAGCTTTTGAGGTTATTGGTGTTTATTTGGCTGTTAATTATTTATAAATATTCAATTCTTTTCAGGTGCTTCTTGGAGAAAACGTGTCGGAGTCGGCTCTGGATGGATTATGGAAAGCTCTGAACACGGCCAGCTCAGTCGCTCACTTGAGAGAAAGTGTTGTTGCAGCGATGCCGAACGATCTGGTCATAGCTGAAAGGTTTACACAGCATTAACTCATTTTATAATAATTCAGTTACATTCGAATTTTTTTTTCAGTTTACTATCGGGTGATAGCCATTTTACGAGTCTTTGGGCGCAAATACGTCAACGCCGGTCTGTCTTTTACAATTTGGCAGTTTCTTCGTACTTCTCCTATATTTCACAACTTGGAGGAAAGACGATGAAAGCAAATAAGGTGGGTTCAA